CAGCGTAGAGGATGGTCTTCAGTGGTCCTCCATGAGCCCTTCACCATGGTATCTAGCGTTAGGAGGAAGAGGAAGGGCTCAGAGCCCTTGGTGCACCCCAACCGTGATGTTTACTCCTTCGTTAGGCCGTGAGGGGTGCGTATGGCTGCTTTGGCTCCTTCGTACATGTCCTTCACCAGAGAGATCAGGTGTTCTGGCACGTTTCGTTCCCTGAGCGACCTCCATAGCACTGCTCGCGGTAGCCGGTCGAACGCCTTCTCCAGGTCGAGGAAGGCTAGGTAGCAGGGTCGGCGCTTTTCTCGATACTTCTCCATCACTTGCCTGCGATGAAGATGGCATCCGTTGTAGACCTTTCGGCATGAACCCGAACTGTTCCTGGGAGATCGGGACCAGCTCCCGCAGCTTCGAGTCGACCAGCCGCTCGTACAACTTCATGGTATGCGCAGTCAACTTGATCCGCGGTAGTTGGAGCAGTCCATCGCGTCCTTCTGTTTGAAGATGGGGACGATGGTACTTGTCCTCCATGCATCCGGCATCTTTCCTTCCACTGTTACCTTGTTCAGGAAGCTGGTGAGCCACCTTATGCCGTACTCTCCGAGCGCCTTCCATGCCTCGATTGGCACCCCATCTGGACCAACCGCCTTTCCAACCTTCATCCTCCCAAGTGCACACCTAACCTCATCCTCAGTCCAGAGTGCGATGGGACCAGCTGTGGCCTCTGCCCGTGAGTTGTTCTTGTGGGGGAACTCCTCGTTCAGAAGCCCCGTGAAGTACTCTTCCCACCTCCTCTTGACTTCGGCTGGCTTCCTTAGGATGACACCATCGCTGCTTTTACACTTTTCACCACCCTGATGTCTTGAGTAGCCGATGCCGGGCCTTAGCCAGCCTGAAGACGAACTTCTCTGCGTTTCTGCTTTCCAACTTCTCGTACAAGGCGTCCATCTCCGTGTTCTTCGCCTTGGCGACGCAGCCTTAGCGAGCCTCTTGCAACTCTTGTAGGTAGCGAGGTCTTCGGGGCTCCGGGTCTTCTGCCAGCGCTTGTATGCTTCCTTCTTCTGCTTCACGACTCGCTGGACCTCCTCGTTCCAGAACCACGCTGCCTTGTCTCCTCTGAATCCACCTCGCGTCTCGCCCAGTACCTCCTTGGCACATCGCAGGATGGTCTCAGCCGCGTTGCCCCAAGTCCGCTGTATTGGCCCGTTAGGATCTGGGAGACCGAACTTCCATTATCCTTCGCCTTGAG